AGGCCTGTATCCCTCCTCTTCTTTCCCTATTAAGATGCTATTTAATCCTGAATTCTAAAGCCACCTCCTTGAGTTACTCATTTTTCCCTGGGTATCTACCATGTATTCATGTAATAAACTTGTCTGTTTTTCTCTCGTTAATCTGTCTTTTATTATAGGGATCTCAGCCAAGAACTCAGAAAGGTAGAAGGAAAATTATTTTCCTCTCCTATAATTCCCATTCCAAAAGGGAGAAATTGGAAAGAAGGAAGGGGTGACGGGTCCAAAGCAAGTCTAAAACCTAGCAAGACAAACTCCATGAGATCTTAAGGCTCCAGAACAACCTTCTTCGGTTTGATGATCTGCCCTCCATGTCCACTAGGGTAGCAACATCACCCCCACAGCTCAGCCATGTTGAAACATGAAAAGTTTGGGAAAGACCTAACATTATCAAATTTTTGTTTTTCAGACTACTTTTTCTCTCAATTTTTTGAAATAGCATGAAGAAAATAAGATCTTTTTTTTACAATGTAAGTCAGACAACCATATCTCTTATTATGGGTCATGGTTTTATAACCATTTTTGGGTCATGAAATCCTTTAAGAATCTAATGAAAACTATGACTAGTTGTCAGATGTTAAGGTGTCAATGAATTAGATCTATTTTTGGTTGCTCTTCGTATCTATTTGAGGAATCTAACTCTTCCTATTTTAATATCATACTATTTTTATCACAAAATTTTATACTAAATTTTAATATCTGCTAAGGCCTAATCACCCTCACCATTCTTTTTCAAAATCTGAATTCAATGGGAAATGGATGAACTTTTTAATAAATGCTTCCAGTAGGTTGAATAATCATCTGGAAGAAAATAAAAATAGATCCCTACTCTCATGCCATCACAAAAATATGGAATAAAGATCTAAATTTTTAAAATAAATTAATAAAAGTATTAGTCTATATTTAGAGGTAGAGAGACCCTAAGCAGGCAGGAAACCTAGAAGCCAGGAGGAAAAGATAGACGTATTCAACTACATAAAATTACACATTTTATCTTGGCAATATCCATTATAAACAGAATGGATGAAAAGACCATCGTGGATTAGGAAAATATTTGTCACACGTGACATGTGACACATCATACCACTAATATGGAAATTATTAAGAAAAATACAACTCAATAGAAAAATGGGCAAAGGAAATGGGAATATACGGAAGGATCTGGAAAAGACCAATAGTTACATGATTAACAATTTAAAACTCACTGATTATGAGGCTAATACAAATTCAAATAATGAGATATAATTTTTTAACCATCAGATTGGCAAAATTTAAAATAATGTAATGCTGGTAACAATAATAGCAGATATTTATTAAGTGATCAGTATATGATGAACACTTTATGTGGATTATCTCATTTAATATTCATGACAATGCTAAGAAGTAGATTTTTTTAAATTAAGGAAATAGCTCAGCTAGCAAACGGCAGAGCAAAGATTCAAACCCAAGCAGTCTGACGCCTGGTGCCCAAGCTCTGATTCAACACGGCCAGTGCTGATGAGGTAGCCTGTGGCGGTGTGATTTGCTACAACCTTTAGAGAAAGTAATGTGGTATTGGATATTAATATTAAAAAACTCATTCCCTTTGACCCGGCATCCCAAAATAAAAGAACCACCACGATCCTGCATTACCTGGTCTTTGCCTACTTAGTAGAACTTACTTGTAAAACCATCTGGGCTTGGCAGTGCTTTTTTGTTTGTTTTTTAATTTTGTGTTCTGTTTTGTTGTGAGTAGATTTTAAACCACTGACTTTCTTAATGGTTAAAGATGTATTTTCGATTTTCTGTTGCTTCTTGAATTGGTTTCGGCAAATTACATTTTTTCCAGGAAATCATCTGTGCCCTTTACTAGGCTTTCACCTCTCAGTTCCCAATCTACCCTTTCCTATCTGCCTGGTGGTGTTGGCGCTGGGTCTCTGCACCACCCCAAACTTTAAGTTCCGACAATCCCCAGCCCAGGGATGTAATTCTTCCTACATTTATGAACTCCATGTTGGCTCAGTGTCCTTTCTTCACCTTTTCAGCCCTCCAACACCTGCTTAACCAGTTCCTTACATTAATTTTTCTCTGTTGAGATACCCACTGCATGTTCTGTTCACTCAACAGGACTCCACCTGACACATCACCCACGTTGTCTAAGTTTTCAAATTTATAAGAATAAAACTATATGGTGATCCCTTATTTATTAAAATCTCTGCAGTATCTATTGATTTGTCCTTTTTCATTGCTAATGCATGCATTTATTTATTTTTACTTAATTTTCGTCTATCTCTAACAGTTCTTTTAAGTAATAATTAGTTTTTGGCATTTTTCCTAACATGCTATATTGGATACACTTTCACTTTCAACCTTCGTTTCCCAATATAAGCATTTTACAGCTATGAATTTCTCATAAATTACTGCTTTAGCTGTATGTTTGAATTTTGTATTTTCATTATTCTTCAAGTCTATATATTGTCTAATTTCTATTATGAGTACTTCTTTAAACCATGAATTATTTAGAAGTGTTTTAAAATTTCCAAATATCTTGAGTATTTTTAAATTATCCTTTTCTTATTGATTTCTAAACTGTTTGCATTGTGGTTAAAGAACTTGACCAGTATGATAAGTTCTACGATAATTGCCTAGAATTCTGTTATGGTCTAACAGTGGTCAATTTTTATAAATATTCCATATGTACCAAATTCTCAAATTTGGGGCCACGGGATTCTACGTGTGCCTAGTAGATCAAGCTTAATTGCATTGTTCAGAACTTCCATATCCAAATCTTTTTGATTTATCCACTTCTGAGAGTGATATGTTGAAGTTTTCTGCTGCGAATAATGAATTTGTCAGTTTCTTTGTGACTGTCACTTTTTTTGCTTTAAAGTACTAGAATGCAAGGACGTATATACAAGGATATTAACTGCAGCAGAGTATCTTGGCAAAACCCTGAAAATAACACTTCTAAATGTCCATCACTAATGAATTGGCTGAATTCATTGTGTGAAATATTATGTAACCATTAAAAAGGATAAATTTGTCCTATATCTACTAACCAGAGGGAGGTCCATGGTAAGTGAAAAAGGCAAGTTTCAGAGTATGTATATAGTGATCCCATTTTTAGTAAACAAACCCAAAATTCCTCTCTTTGTGAACACGTGTAAATATGTTTGAGTCAGAAAAAAGGCTAACATCAGTTCCTCCAGGGAAGTAACTGGAGTGGGTGGAAAAGAGCTTTGACAAATAACTTTTTTATTTCACTTCCTACAATGACCATGTTTTACTCTGGTAATTTAAGGAAAGTCTGGTAAAAAAGTGATGATCAGTACTCATTTTATGAAGCCTGATAGGAAGATATGCCGTGTGAAAAAAGCAGGTCGTAATGGTTATAATGTGATCTTCTTTATTGTAGTGACATGGACATGTTGATATGAACATAAGGAAATGTCTGAGAACACACCCACGAAATTAGTACTATTATCTCTAAGTGGGAGGGTTATGGGGGCCTTTTTACTGCTACATGTCTGTATAGTTTGCATTCATTTTATACATATATACTAATTGCATGTGCAAAAAAAAATTGTTTTAAAGGATGTAACTACAAAAATGCTATGGGCTCTCTCAAACACACACACAAAAACAACCCCCAAAAATAAAAAAAGTCCAGACACTATGCAAAATTTTACATACAATTTCAGGTAGTTAACAGACTCGCTGCAGCCCATTTACGGATTGCCTAGGTTTCTGCTCCAGTAGATACAAGGAGAGTTTAATGGCAGAAAAATTAGGTGACCTGCCAATTTCTCCTTCTATCCTCTGAGAAAGGAGCTGGCTCCGGGGCACAATCTTGTTACTGAAAAACGGCTGGACTCTCCTCTGTAAGGAGGATTCCAACCTTGCTGGAGTGAGATGCTGCTTAAGCCCCTCACACTGTTTCTACCGTGTGGGCACCTACCTGTGAGGCGTGAGGGGTGGGCTGCTGGCCTTGATACCTTTTTGGGTCTGTTTCTAACCATCTAAATCACTAATTCTCAAAAGGGGAGAAGGTAGGAATATGAAAGTGCAGTTTGTAAACACATATTCGATGTTATAATTTAATCTTCGACAGTAAAAGAAAACTACTGTTTTCATAATATAAATTCATGTGGTGGGGCATGTGACACATAGAACTTGAGCTCCAGAGAGGTGAGAGAAGTAGCCGGGAAGGCAGGCAGATTATTCTCTTAAAACCATGCTTAGGAGGTTGAACTTTACCCTGAGGCTAATGCAGGAATTACTTACAGGCTTTCAGTTGGGAAGTGACATGATTTGAGTCTTTTTAGGATTCCTTTGGCTGCATGGTGGAGAAAGAATTAGAGGGAAGCAAGCTGGGAAGTCAGCATACTACTTAGACTGTTGTAGTAATTCAGCTTCAGAGATAATGGGCCTTGGATTCTGGGTAACAGCAGTAGGAGTAGAAATATGTCAGTGGTTGGGAGAAAGAAATATTCCAAAGATAGAATAAACTTGGATTTATTCATTTTGGGGTGTGGGAGCCAAAGAGGAGTCAAATTAGATTTCCAGGTTTCTGGCTTGGGCAGCTGGAAGATGGTGGTGCCATATTGATAGAGAATGCTGGAAGCAGCACTGGGGTATTTGGAGGGGATGAAAATAGTAGATCCAAAATACATAATATTTGTCTTTCCTTGCCTCTAAGAGATTGACAGAAAGCCCAGGAATGGATTCCAGGGCTGACACCCACTTCCAGGTCTCTTGCCACGTTTTTCTGAGAAGAGTGACAGCTCTGCTGTGCTCTCCTCTGCTCTGTCCAGCCCTACTCTCTGCTCTAGTGAGTCTGGGGTATTCTTTTAGCCTTTCCCCTCCCTCCTCCTCCTCAACACAGGACGATTGTAGCAGACAATACTTTTAGGAGAAAGTCATAATGAAAAAAGTTTATATCAGCCTAAGGGTAGAATTTAATGATGACCAAACAAGACATGTATTAATAATTGATATATATCTTTTTATTATGCACAGATAAAGGACTTAAAACTGTGGTTATCAAAACTATACATCTAAGCACGTTCACAAAATTGCCGACACACTGAACAGAGAAAAGAATACAACAGGGGTGTTCAAACTGGCCACAGGGATTTTAAGGGTACTCTTTTGACCCTCATAGATGATGAAAAACAGCAACAAAATCAGGCTCATTCAGGAAAAACCAGAAGAGAGAAGTATTGTATTTAGAAACTGATAATAGTCCTTTTTGGAAAACATCTGTCAGTTTCATGAACAACCCCCAGCTAAAACAAACAGGAAAAAAATCACACACGCAATTCACCCAACAAAATGTGCTCTGTTAACACAACCAGCAGTACAACCATCACTCAAACCATGAGGTAGTTATAGTACAAAAAGACTGGCACGCGCGTGCGCGCCCCCCACACACGCTCACAATCATGCCCACTACAGAACACACACAGGAAATGGGTATACTATCTTATTACAGACAAGGAAAAGACCATTTTTGTTTGTTTGTTTAGAAAATGCTATAGAAACAGCTTAAACAAGGAATCTCTGACTTTTAAAATACAGAGTAACAGCTGGTAAACACCACAAATTGTGAAAAGCTATAGGATATTACACAATCTGCCTTGAAGTTTAGAGCATTTCAACAATAGCTTTAGCATCAAACAACAAAATAAAATGGCCTCTGCAAATTAAGGGTGTAGCCTGCAGAAGTAACAAAAGACTGTAGATAGAAGAGTTTAACTGGAATATAACAACTGTTTTAAAGAAACTTACGGAACGTGTTATAAAGTAGAGCTTATACTTTGTATTAAAACTGTGAAGTATGAAGCAATTGGAAATGCTGTAACAAGAAGCTAGGGAGATTTTTTTATGTTCATTTTTTAGAAACATTTCAGAAATACTTAACAACATTCACTCTCCAATTAACATGGGATCAGGTTTCATCAACATGGATTTCTTGATCTGAATAATACTTCTGACAATACGACCCAAACAAATAAAAGTTGACTTTTTTTCTTCTCTCTCTTTTAAAATCTTTTGGTTTGCATCTATAAATTTGTAAATTAATTTTAAATTATTTATAAAATCATTGGCAATGTAGCATCTCTCTCAAAAATATACATTTAAATATATTATAAAAGGTTTTAACCCTGTCCATCTAAGAACTGGATCTTTTAATATCTTTTAATAGCTAATTTTCTGTTTAACAGGATGGAAAGGGTTTTTTTTTAAAAGCAAAGAACTGATCAAAAGAATTCACAGTAACTGAAATTAAACATTTCATATGGAGTAACTTAAATTTATCTAAAACACTTAAATATATCTTTATACACAAATTTTTGTAGTAAAATATAGCTATAAGTGACTTAAAGACTCTAGTCTTCTTTGAAGACATCTTTAAACATTTTCATACATAGAATATGCTAATACAATACATTCTGCTGAAGGTTAGGCAAAGCGCATTATTTTCAAACACAGGTAGCGTAATCTAGGTCCTCCACTCTGATACCCTTATGTTAAAAAAAGTTAATTGAAGGAAAAAAATTCTGTAATCTCGTATCCTCATTTATCTGTGGAAAACTGCAAAATTATCAATGTAGATAGCCTGGAAATCTTAGCTCTCAAGTAATCTGTTTTGGTTAAAATTATCCTGATTGAATGTCTACACCTATATAATCAATCAGAGTATTAATACTCTATGATTAGGTAACAATGACTGTCAATCTCCACCTACTTGTTCACCTGGTAGACACTGCCCGCAGGTCCTGGGTGTCATCATCATTCCCTACTTAACGTTCTAGTCACAGAGAACCAGGCATAACCTCCTTATTTTAAAGGCAGTGAGATTTGCTTATGAATATTTTGGTGTAGAATCTAGCCTGTTCCATCTGTAGAATTCTCAGTCATTTGGGAGGGAATTCTGGAAAAAGAGTAATATTTATTTGCAATGAAGCTATCCTCAGTAGTGAATAATTTGGCATGGAAATTTTCCTCTGGCATTCTTCTTTAACATAGAGGTATCAGTTGAGCTTATTTTAGCTGCAAAGTGGCATCATATTATTCCATTTTAATGAAATTCACCTCAAATCCTTTTTGAGTTTGGTATATATTTAAGGCAAGAGAACTAAAGCAATCATAATGAGTGCCCTTTTCCATATCTCAGCACTTTCTTGGCAGAATTGGTGACACTATTCAGGTAACCAGTGAATCCAACAGGATCTGCCATGCATTTGCATCTTATAAGAGCTTGGTTTTTATAAAAGGATCTATTAAAAAGGTTGATATGTTTTGAGTGGAAACATTAATTCTCCCAAATATATTTAAGAATAAGTTCCAACTCTGAAGGCATAGGACATTATTAAAAGGGGAATGGATTTTCTCTTCTTCAACAGGGAAAACAAATGTACCAGATGATATATTATATACTTGTACTGGCATATATATCACTGTTCAAATTCCTCCTCAACTTTCTAACAGAATTTTACTCCAATTTATACATTAATTTATCAGAACACAATGTCATAAACGGGCACAAATCTGCAGTCTCAGATTTTGACCATTTTCAATTTCTATATGCCTATGAAGAAATACAAAATCTGCATTAAGACATTTTTGCAGTCGGTGTGCAAGTGTGGGGAGAAGGAGGAAGCTGATAAGGTAATCAGCATTGGTTTTGGCCCAGGGCACAAGAAAGGAATGTTGCCATGATGTGTGTCAGGATGCAATCCCCGAGGGCAGCACCCACCAAGCTGACACATCGGCCCCCACAGAGTGTGGCAGCAAGGTGAGAAGTGTGCATCCAGAAGGTGCAAATCAGACATGGAGGAACCCACTGAGAAAGTCCTGAAGCATTTCTTTTGTTTTACATCTTGGTTCACTTATAAAAGAATCCTTAGCCACATCTCCTCACTGGTTCTAACTATCTGGCTGTTATCCTTTTACCAACTCCTTAAGTCTGGGTAAAACTCAGGGCCCCAAATTATGAATGTTCTTACCTGGACAAAGCAGCATTTTAAAAACTGGCATGTGTTTCACATTGAAAACCCCCAAGCCTGGGAGGGGCTGGTGGAGAAGGCCACCATCTTAGCTTTCTCACATGAATCCTAGTGTGTTACAGAAGTCCAGGGGTCACACTGACATTAGCCCTGGGTGGGGGGCGAATCCAATAGGTGATCTTTACATTGAAATTCACTCTCTCTTTACAAAGGAACCATAATCAAGCCTTCGGAGTCTGGAGTCTGGACAGGTGCCATCAGCCGTCAGGCCCTGCCCGTGGCAGTGGCCGGGCCGGGCTAGGCTGTGCTGCTGCTGGAGCAGGGCGTGCTCTGTGTGCTGCCAATGCTGTGGGCCGCGCTGCTGTTTTCCGAGGCCGGCGGGGAGGTGGGGACTTGCTGTCTTCCTGCAGTCTCTCCTGCAGTTAATAAAGAAAAAGCGCAAAGATAGATGCATATTAACGTGTGCACATTCCTGAAAAAGCCATTTCTCCCTTTGCCATCTTATCTGATGTTCTCAATGATGGGCAGAAGCAACTAGACCAGAAGGCCTCACACCATAAGGTTGTTCTCCTGGTTGATGTTTTGTTTTTAAAGCCTCTTGCAAGGGGAAAAGAGAACTGTTTTCAAGCTGACTGACAGGCAGGTATAGTGGCTAAGACCCCCGACAGTTGACGACGAATCCCCAGGATTTCAGCGTCTACAATCTTTGAAGAAACCACCACCATCTGTACTGTATGATCCACTGACCAGCCCCTGTAATCAGGTAACATGGTCCATCTCCTCTCATAAAGACACTTTTTAAACTGTAATAAGAGAACCTTGGCAGTTTGGGGGCCTTTTTCTGAATGCACTTGTTCAAAAGGGGGGTGATGAAGCCTAGATTTCGCCATAGCTACACAGAGAGAGCCACGTGCACCAAGCACACAACTTACCAGAGAAATGGAGGTGGGAGGAGCCTGCTCTCAGAAAAACCTTTTGGGGAAGGGGTTTAGCTGTTCACTCATGGGGACTGCGGTTGCCAGGTAACACCCCCTCCATCCTGAGGTTCACTGTGGGGTGCGGCGTGAGTATCTCCTAACACATTAAGCATCCCACTTTTCATTACACACCCCACTGCATTTTAGCTAAACCCATTCCTAGTGCCAAATGTGCAGTGCTTCGGAGAGGCAGGAAACCTTTGGGTCACACACATGGTTTGCATTTAGCACTGCGAAAAAGGCTCTAGAGCTAAGGCTTGTCTTCAGCGAAACTGGCCTCAGGGCGGCCCTCAAAAAATGGCTCTAAGTAGGGAAAAGTGATCAAGGCTCTCAATGACAACACTGCATTTTCTTTGAAAAGTCAGAATATAAACTTCATAAACGTCTGGTCAGCAGTCCCCCCTCCTCCAATGTGAGAAGCCCCAGAGGGCCGGGTCTGTTTATGAATGAGCCTCCTCCTTCCTGTCATGCTGAAATACACAGCTCTCAGCCCGAGATAAGCAACCCTCCAGCAGCTTCATTAAAACACAACACTTGCGTGAGCAAAGGCTCTGCCCTCCAAGTACAGGAACTTAGCCCGTTACCTCCATTCCCCTTCTGGGGTCCCTCAAAAGCCTCTGCCAAAAAAGCAGTTCTGCAAAATGTAGAACCGGCTTCTGCCCCTGGGTCTGGTGACAGCGTTCCTGGTCACCCATTCTGCGAACCACACAGCTAAAGCACACATTTTTGCATCAACCTCAGGGCGTTTATATGCTTGTTGCATATTTAGCCCTTGCTTTATTTCCTCTGATTATCTTTTCTTCTGGGATTGGTGGGATGAAGAAGGGACAGGGGGTCAATATCCTTCAGAGGCAGAGAAACACTGTTTTCAGTCTTCTTTTTTTGGCAATCTATTTTGGACCCTCCTCACCATTGCCCTCTACCCTTCATGTGTGTATATAATTAAAGGTGAGGAAGTTTGCCTCAATGACAACGACTTTCTCCCAGAAATTCTTCCCCAGAGTGGGAGCTTTATTTCTAGAAGGAAATCAAATCTCTCAGCTATTCTGATGGCCACAAAAAAAACCTCCAAAAACAAAAACCCAAAAACCTCCAGAGACCCAAACAAAAATTCAGCCCCCTTACAACCCACATGTTGATCCACACCCAGCTGGATCCTCATATTATCAATCAGAAGAACTAATGTGGCTGTGCGTGAAGCACATTTTAAAAATATCTATTCCCCATTTAAATAAAGGATACATCAGAAAAGCAGGAGCTAAGCCAACACCCCACATCCCCTTTTTGGCTCACCTGGGCTTCATTTGTTCAGCCTAATAGCAGCTAAAGCAAGATCGCCTTGCCTCATCTCCTGACAGTGGACAAGTCTGTCTCATCCAGAATTTGACATGTGCTTGGTTATTCACGTTCAGGAAAAGTACCAGTACTACTCCCTGCCCAGGAGGTCTGAATACTTGTTTTCCGATGCCTACTTGCCAAATACAATTTGCTGCCATGTCAGTTTATTTTAATCAGTGCCTGTTAAAAAGGTCTTTCAACTTCCAGAGTTTTGGAAACTCTTGTGCAAAAACACTGTTCAAAATGAAACCCCAAGCAAAACAAAACAAAGAAGCCCCCTCTACTTGAGATTGCAGGAGACATTTCACCAAGGTGGACAACTTAACTTAGCCCAATAATCTATTGACTTTGAGCAATAATGTGCCAAGGAGAGTATTTGTCTGATAATCTGCTAGGAAATTTTGAAAATATCTTCTTTAGACTATCCCTTCTACCTCTGTGGCTATTTTCACATGTAAGATATGAGATTTCTCAATATAACCAAGTTGTTAAGAACTTTTATTTTTTCAGAAATTAAGAAAAAGTTTTTGCATTGTCAGATGGACGCAGCACCAGAGAAAAATTCACCATGAGAAAGAAAATTTAATGTGCAGATGTGTCTGCTTAAAAAGCCAACGGAGTCAGTCCCCTGGGTTTTCTGAGTTGGGTCCCTTGGTTTTCTGCTCTCTATCACAGTGACCTCTGATTTCTTGGAGCACTGACTTTCTCTAAAATATCCCTTGGATGACAGATACAATCAGCCTACTTCTGGAGAAGATGGGCAGGGAAGACCTCAGGATTAAGCAGAGTAGGCCTACTTAGCGAATGTAAGGAGTTCAAGGAAGGCTCCTTGCTCATAAATATCACACTTGGCCATCAGAAGAGATATGTTCAGTCTTCATGCTTTGCTCCTAAAATCATAAACCACATTGAGGAAGAGAGATTTGGGGAGGAGAGTGAGTAGGGGAGCGAGGCATTTAGTACATGGGATACTCAAGAAGGAAGTGTGTTAGGACAAGGATTAATTCCACCCAGCTCACATATTAGCCTGTGGCTGAGCCTAGATATTGCCAAAGATGCTTTTAGAAACAGAAAAATATATTTTTTTAAGGAATAATCTGTTTTATTTCTTTAGCTTGGCATGGAGTTGTCCAGATCTGATTTCCTGCCACCTCTTTGGCAGTCTGCTTTACAACTGGATTCTTATCTCTAAGCTTTTCAGCATGGCAGGTCCTGGGGAAGAAACTTTAAGAAAGATGTGACATGGAGAGGCTCCATGGAGAAACAACAGAACTTTAAAGAAAGAGGAGAGGAATCTCTATTATTTAGCCCAAAGGAGACTATTTGCAAATATTGCCAATAGAGAATTATTACAAAGAGGAGCAGACAGCTGTTCTTTATTTCCCTTGAGGGCAGACCATGAGGAAATGAGTTTAAATGGCAGCGATAGGGATTTAGGTCACATAGAAAAGAACTTGCTGATTACGAGGATTGGTTAGTTACAGGGGGAATTTACGGAATTTCTTGGGAGATATTTAAGCATTAGATTGAAAACCATATACCTAGGGGTGATTTAGATTTAATATTACTTAATGCTGGAAAAAAACAAAGATATTTTCCTCTAGGCATGGGTTGCAACTTCGTACAAATTAATGTCTCAATCTCTTGATATCTGAATTGTAATTATTTCACAAGCTCACTCCTGTAAGGAGAGTGAATAGACTACCTTTAGTTTAGGGAAGTTTTCAATCACTATTTGTCATTTTCAAAAATTGTCCCTCCCCACTCTCCAAGCTAAAACACTTTCCTTTTACAGGGGCAAAACTCTGCAGGAGGGGTGGATGAGATGTTATAAGTTATGGGGAAAGGGAGAACTGTTGCAAGGCAGGAATTAACAGCTTTCAAAATGTCCTCCCTACCACTTTCTTCCCATATTCCTACAGTAGGGCCAACCTGCCTGCACCTGCACTGTGGTTTTCTGTGGGCATCTTACTTTCATTTAACCTGAGCACTTGGCTGAAAAGAGTGGATCCTGCCTTCTTTATAGTCACACCAGGGTTCCCATCCATTCCAGCTGCATTTTTCTGATCCATGGGACTTAGTCTCTTGTCACACCTTAGCCTATCTTCTTGATGTTTCTCTCTTCACCTGGATTATACTTGGGAGGTTGGAGAAACTTCAGACCTCTAAAAACATATGAAGCCTCCAGAGATGCTCCTAATTAAAAGCTCTTACCTGACTCAGGTGGACCTGGGTATGTGCTTGACTTCTGCTTTAAGAATACATGGTGTGTTCAACTGAGGATTGCTGAACAGAGGCCTGAGGGATTGGGACAGGCACACCTAATTCAAGACCTCAGTATTTTATTTTGCTCTGTGAAACAGTGTTCCTTCCACTCTTAGATATTTTTCTGCCTACACATCTGAGCACCCTTAAATATCTTACATTTTTGTAGGACTCAGGAGTTTAGAAAGCTTTACACATGCATTTCTTGTTTAAGTACTCTCGCCTCCAATAACCCTGTGAAGTAGAGATCATTTCTATGTTTACTAAAGGGAAACATGGTTAACATACCTGGCTCAGGTAACAAGACTAGCAGTTGAACAAACTAGAGCTTCAAGTCCAATTTCTGACGATAGCCCACAGCTAAGGATTGTACAGATACATGGGAGGGTGGCCTCCCTCCCAACCCCCCTTCCTTTTCCCTCTTCCTCCTCTTCTTATCATCAGACTTGGAGTGCATACTGTTCATGGGCCACAAAGTAAAATAAATGATAACATCTAACCCATCCCTCCTGTAGTTTTGCCTGTAAAAAGAAAGTTTAGCTTGGAGAATGGGGAGGGATAACTTTTGAAATTGATAAAAAGTGAGGAAAACTTCTCTAAAGGTGTTCTAGTTCACTCTTTTTACAAGAGTGAGCTTGTGAAATTAGTTAGGATATCAAGGAATCAAGACATTAATTGGTACAAAATACGCAACCAATTCACAGGCCAAGGGGAAAATCTCACCAAAATGACAATTTACAGGTTTTTACAAGGCATAAACCTAGAAGAAAGAAAGCAGGAGTGGAGACAATAGTAATAAAATATCGGAAGCTGGTGAGGAAATGGGTGAGTAGCAA